AACTAAAATACAACAAACTTATTTTTTATCCTGAATTATTTTGACAAAGGGAAAAAAATAATTATAAAATCCTAAAACATCTTGGCGATAAAAAAAAAAAAAGACTCAAATTTAAAACGCTCATATCTACATCGTGATTCAAGATAACACAAATTTAATCATTTCGAGATATACAAAATCTTCCGCACGACGAAAATAATGCATGACCTTGAACCCAGTCAAAATTGGCGGGCCCAACACTAGCTTTAACCAATCTAAATGAATACATAACTTGTTCATTCATGAGGCCATCCAATCCCCATCACGTGTGCATACTTTGATAGGGAATGTCGATAGACCTTTACCATAATTTTCTTTATCACCAAATCACAGAACAATCCTATGATTCGCAAAGTTTCTACAGACAACAAAGTAATAATTCATGATAATGTGAATAACATAAAAAAAAAGTAAATTACAAAAATTCATTAAGCAATCAAGACTCAGCAAACCATTTATTTACTGAAGAATATCTAGTATTTCGATGCAGTTGAGAATATATTTATACGCTGGAACAACGATGGAGAAACACCGATTTCACTAACCTCTTCTCGGGGGGAAACGCCAACATCACGGTCCTCACCCTCACCGATGATCGCCCGATCCAAGACGTCTTCCTCAAAGTCAGGGTCTCGTGGGTTTAACCAAACACGCAAGACCGGCCGGGTTGTCTACCAAAGCTTAATGCCATGTGTCTCCCAATACATATGTTGTAATTTTATATAGAAACATAATCGCCCTATCCAAGACGTCTTCACCCGATCCAAGACGTCTTCCTCAAAGTCAGGGTCTCGTGGGTTAACCAAACACGCAAGACCGGCTGGGTTGTCTCCCAAAGCTTAATGCCATATGTCTCCCAACACATATGTTGTAATTTTATATAGAAACATAATCGCCCTATCCAAGACATCTTCACCCGATCCAAGACGTCTTCCTCAAAGTCAGGGTCTCGTGGGTTAACCAAACACGCAAGACCGGCTGGGTTGTCTCCCAAAGCTTAATGCCTTATGTCTCCCAACACATATGTTGTAATTTTATATAGAAACATAATCGCCCTATCCAAGACATCTTCACCCGATCCAAGACGTCTTCCTCAAAGTCAGGGTCTCGTTGGTTAACCAAACACGCAAGACCGGCTGGATTGTCTCCTAAAGCTTAATGCCATATGTCTCCCAACACATATGTTGTAATTTTATATAGAAACATAATCGCCCTATCCAAGACGTCTTCACCCGATCCAAGACGTCTTCCTCAAAGTCAGGGTCTCGTGGGTTAACCAAACACGCAAGACTGGTTGGGTTGTCTCCCAAAGCTTAATGCCATGTGTCTCCCAACATATTTGTTGTAATTTTATATAGGAACATAATCTAGCTGAGGGCCAATCCGAACTCCATTCCGAGTAGCTGAAAAAATAAATTATATCGTTAAAAAAATGTAAAGAAACATCCATATATGAGTACATAATATAGTACTGAGAGAATTTGAAGGTTGTATTCACAATAGTTTGAATTATTCAACATTTTTTTTTAAGTATTGTTAGTATATTTCTTTTGCTTACTATGAAATTCGACTTCTTGTTCCATTTCATAAGTTTCTTCCCAAAGTGTTGCTTTAAAGCAGTGGTGTTATATCCTCCAAAAAGTTTCATCTGTGACTGCAATACATGATTTTATGCAAGAAAAATACATCATGTCAGCATCATCTTTTAAATTTATTTGGAGTTAATGTTAATGATTGAGCAGGCAAACTAACAAAATAAAGAAGTGTAAAACAACCAATTCCCCTCAATTACAGATTAAAGCATAAGAAATAATGTTAAGTCATGTAGATCCTCATGATAGGACAACATTAACCATTTTTTGTATGTAGTTTTATGTACATACTGCATGATTGCTATCTCATACTATATGTCATGTACTTACATGCACAATAAAGTCAGTATATAATACTAAGAAAACAAAGGAAACAACAGGATATGTTCGTAAGGAAATTGAAATCAGATAACTAAAAGATTGACCTCTTTCTGCTCCAATTGACTATTTAACTCGCTCATTTCTTGATCCATACTATTTTGCAAACAACTATGCTCCAACTTTTTTGCTGTATCTTCATCGATATCTCCAGAGTCGCCTACAAATACTGAACGGCATATCAAATCAGCCAAAATGTACAGATTCGTCTCCATCGACAATTTTTTTTTTGTCCTTTTTTCAGTGAAGGAGGGGGGTTAATGTTGTAAATGAATTATAAAAGAACTTAAGTTAATTCATTCGCATTAGTTTAAGAAATAGAAAGTATTCACCGGCACCGCTCGCTGCTCGGGCCATCATAGAATTGAGATGCCACCACCGTCAAGCCTATCCGCTGATCGTCGCTTTCTGTAGTAGCTCCGCTGCTCATGAAGAGTAAGTAGCCTGAATATGAATATGTACAGTGCACAAATCCATAGCAGTTATAAGAGCTTTGTCACCAAGGTTTCTATAGTAAGCTTAAAAATTTCTGGCCTAAAAATTAGCATTAAACCATGTTCATGCCACTTCAATTCCAGACCCCAGATATGAGAAAACATTCTTTTATTTAATGAAAGCACCGTAACTTTTCAATATAAAACTTCAAAAGCTATACAAGAAACCAGTTAACATTAAAAGAACCATATTTTGAGCTTAATCAAAATTCCAATTCAAGTTAATTGGTGCTTCTTGAATGTATTCAACCTTCCAATGTTCACAAATAGATTGCGGAGGACTGATGAAATTCTAAATATCCGCAATTTTCCTTCACATGAGTTTTTCACCGAACGATAATAATCGCAACCAATCGAGAAGAAAAATGGGTTGTGAGGGTAGAAAGACTTACAGGGATAGGAATTCTACTATTTGGAAAGCAGCGTCTGATGTAAGGAATACATCACCTATTGAGGCACCTTTTTCCTGGAAGTTTTTATACCAAAAATAATAAAGTAAAATAATATGTAAAGAGCTAAATCCTAGAGTGCTATATGCAGAGTGCACAATTCGGCCATCTATCTCCCGGCTGAAGCACACTGGTCAAAATCCTCCAACAATGATTGAGTCTACTACTATATAAAGTTTCCAAGATAGATTAAAGCTCAGAAAAATGTAAAAGCTTCATAATGATTAAGTGTGCGAGGCAGGAAAATAATTCTTGTAACTGATAGAAAAAGCAAATATTTACTGAGAAACAAAAAAAAGGGGAAAAACTAAATCAAAGAAGAGAAAGAGAATAAACCCTTGGTCACATACACAAGCATAAATAAGCGGCATCACATCCCTTAAAAGAGCAAAGTCGTCAAATTCTCGTTCGTCCAAATTTACCCACGAAATGGTTTCTTTCCCTTCACGTCCAACGATTCTTTCGATGATGGTGTTCAGTAGGTGAATTTTGGTCTTCTATAGCACAAACAAATTGCTTATGTCGGGTGGTTGTGATATCATCACTGTTATTTCTGTAGCATAGAGGAACATCATTCTCAGACTCTCCCAACTATACAATAAAACAATTAAATAACTACAGAAAATATAATGAACTAAAGACTGATGAAGACATTCTGTTGTCACAAAACTTGTTTGTCCCATTTTTGTTATCCTTTTCTTTGTTTATTTGGTAGATTTTATCCCCCGAGTTTAGGTTTTTATTAGTCAGTTTGGTCCTTCTGTCGTTCTTTTCGCTTGTTAGTCGTTTATTTATCGTTTTCGATATTTTCTGCTCTTTTTGCTTGTTTTTCGGGTGTTGATCTTCTATCTTAGGTGGTGTGCAAATCAGGCTTTTCATCTCACATTTGGAGCTATTTGAGCAACCGAGCATTAAGCAGAATTTCAGTCACAAGTGCCAGCCATTCTAACAAGTCCAGCTTCTATTGAGATCATACTCTATTGACATAAGAGATGACATAAAGTTTGACATAATAACACGTGTCATGATCGTATTACTTTACAAATCACGTCACTTTTAAAATTAACAAGTATCATTTATGCCATCAAATCAAATTATGTTAAATAATTTAATCCCTTGTCATAAAATCACATCACTTTTGACATATAATATGACCGATTTATTTCGTTTATTTTATCAAATGTCATTTTTTCGTACCAACTATGAGCAGTTTTTTCCGATGGAGGTGGTGAAGGATTACGAGCTTGACTTCCCAGAAGAAATCATGCTGGTGGATTCCAACAACCGAGAATTCCGCGGAAAGGTCCGGAAGTGGGGGAACGGCCGAGTGGTGATATCAGGTGGGTGGAAATGCCTGTGGCGGATGAACTTGGCGAAGGAGAACGATAAGGTCATTTGTGAGTTTGCCCCCGGCGAAAATGGTTGCCGGCTAGTGATGAAGGTCAGCTTTGTCCGGGCAGATGAGTTAAGGGCAATCGGGCTTTGATTCGAACATGCTTCTCTTTTTCGTCTTCTTCCCGAAAAAATGGTAGGGTTTTATTTTATTTTATTTATTTATTTATTTATTTTTTAATGATTAATAGTGATGTTTGAGTTATTGAGATATTACTTGTGAGATCTCATGATGGTGATGATGAATTTGGGTTTTCTGACTGTTGATTTGGAACCTTATGATGTGAACTATGGAGTGAGTGAAAGTGAAAGATTAGGCCAACTTAAAAAAAAAAAAAAAAAAAAAACAAAACAAAAAATCACTATTCTGGTGCAGTTTTTGCAATAATATAACGCAATTTTTTTTCCAAATAATCTGAAATAATCATAATTCAAATATTGCACAAAAATTAATGATACACATGATATTATTATATTTTTAGTATTTTCACAACACATTATATTCACTCCATGGAGATAGCACAACAATAATAGTCAGGTGCATACAAATTGTGAACATCAAACTTCTAACTGAACAGAATATATAAAAGAGGAGAAGAAGTAGATGATGAACAAGTAAAAACTAAAAACAAGAGCTTCTAACCGGAAAAAAAAGCTCAAGCCGACTCTTTAGCCTCGGCAGCTGCCTCCTCTTCTTGCAATTTCTTGAGAGATGGTGGCGGCCTTGGAACAATACTTTTCTTCCATTTCAAGTCGAGCTTTCTCGACAGCCTCTTGCTGATCCCTTCCTCTAGCTCCCTTTCTCTCTTCACAGTCATCATACGAGCAATCTTTTTGTTTTTTTT